TGAGACGATTGTGGATGAAGAACAGATGAGACGATTGTGGATGAAGAACAGGTGAGATGATTGTGGATGAAGAACAGGTGAGATGATTGTGGATGAAGAACACATGAGATGATTGTGGATGAAGAACAGGTGAGATGATTGTGGATGAAGAACAGGTGAGATGATTGTGGATGAAGAACAGGTGAGATGATTGCGGACGAAGAAGTTGAGCTCCTGCAGGAGCAGTTCTTCCTCTGGCTGAAGTTCAGGAGGTCTGAATGAAAGGTGGACTCTGGTTCTGACTCATCTGAATCCAGCAGCTGCTTCTGTCCCCCCCCCACAGACACAGCTTGTAAATATATATTTACAGGCGCTGCTGATCCCCTCCACCCCACCTCCACTCCTACAGTTGGTTTATTTTCACGGCAGCTGCAGCGACCTCTGCTTCGTTTTTAATGAGACAGTTAATGATGTGTTTTCTTCCTGACAGGGGGGAGGAGACTGATAATGATCAYGATGATAATGATGGCCGGGGGCCGTTAACAACCTCATCTGTCCTCCTTTTCAAAGCACAAAGCTGAAATGAAYATGGTTCAGTTTTTGTTAAAAAATTATCACACAGAGACCCTGACAGATCCTCATGGACCCCCACAGACCCTGGTCTGAAGCCCATCAAACAATGATCTGGGTTTTAGCAGCTTCAAAAATGATTCAATCAAATCTCAAGTAAAAACTAGCAGATTCACCACRAGGCGTGAAAAACCTGCAGCAACACGTCAGTTTTCTCTTTAGCTTCTGTTTAGCTGTTTTTGTCCTGACTTCAGTATTTTTAGTCTTTTATTCAGTTTAACTTGTWTAGCTGACTAAAGCTCCTTGTTCTCCTGGTTTCAGCTGATGTTTCAGCTCCCGTCAGTCTCTCTGGAGTATCAGAAAAGTGTTTTTCTGTRAAAAAGCTTCGCGCTGCAGAAACTCTGAGGCTGAAGTGACTTTGTTGAACTTTGTTTATTGTTTGTCTGAACATGATAAGAAAGAGGAAACATCRTGTGCAACAGGACCAGAATTCAGAAGACTACAAACATCATGAGACAAGAGACGGAGGAGGACACATGCACACGTGTCTCACTCCCTGCGTCCATCACCCACAGTCTCAGGAAGTTCAGACGTCCAGAACCGATGATGAAATTTACTTCCTGTTTGGACAAACGGACACAAAGCAAGAACACGAACACACAGAGTGAGGACAGTGAGTTACCTGCACACCACTAACATCTGGAGGATTTCTTCTGTCCTCGGAATGTGTCACAGAGGGGACAAAATAAAAGTATCAAAAATTCATTTCTTTATTTTACAACATTCRGATGCAGCCGTCTCTGCAGCCGAGGCGTGAAAAGTTGGCAGGTGACCTCCRTCTGCAGTGCGGCCAGAGATTTACAATCTTCTGATGCCTCCGAGCCGTCCGTCCACCAAAACCTCGTCCCTCCTCTTCCTCGCCTCAGAGTCCGAACGACGAGGCGACGGAGCCTCTTTCCTTTTTAAAAAGTTTCAACTACACCACAAGTACACAGTTTTCACGAGTCATGCTAATACACGAGAACTAGAACAAAGGTAAAAACCTTCAGTAAAAACGTCTCTTCAGAGATGATGTAATTCTTATAAATTATGAACCTGTTTGAAATCAGTCTTTACACAGAATTACAGACCAGAGTGTAAACCAGGACACTGGCTGGCACAAGAGAAATTATTCAAAATAAACTAGATTTGGTGATCAGCTGTAACATTATTACTAATGAGCAACACAAGGGGGGCGGGATTAATAAAATTAATAAATAACACAATCCAGAGACATGATGCCAGGATAACTACAGGAAAGGGTTAAAACTAAAAATAGCAGACACGATGAAARTATGGAAGCACATTTCTGCCACAGAAACAAACAAATGTGACAAAACTTTAAACTCACTTATGTGAAACAAAGTAATTAATGTGAGAGACTGAGTCAGGATTATGTGTTACAAAGTCAGAATTATGAGATGTGAAGTCAGGATTATGATTTTTGACAGGATTATGATTTTTAAAGTCAGGATTATGACTTTTAAAGACAGGATTATAACTTTGAAAGTCAGGATTATGAGATGCTAAACCAAAATTATGAGATGGAAAGTCAGGATTGTGACTTTTAAAGTCAGAATAATGAGATGCAAAGTCAGGATTATGGGATGCAATGTCAAGATTATGAGATACAAAGTCAGAATTATGATATGAAAAATCAGGATTATGAGAAGCAAAATCAGGAATATGAGATTGCAAAATCAAGATTATGAGATATTAAATCAAAATTATGAGATGTAAAGTCAGGATTGTGACTATTAAAGTCAGAATTTGAGATGCAAAGTCAGGATTATGACTTAAAATCAGGACTACGAGATGCAAATTCATGATTATGAGATGCAAAGTCAGGATTACGAGATGTAAAATCAGGATTATGACTTAAAATCAGGATTATGAGATACAAAGTCAGGATTATGAGATGTAGTCAGGATTATGACTTTTAAAGTAAGGAATACGAGATGCAAATTCAGGATTACGAGATGTAAAGTCTAGATTATGAAATGCAAAGCCAGGATTATTAGATGCAAAGTCAGGATTATGACTTTTTATCCTATCGAACGTCATAACTCGGATGTAATTATGATGTTGACTGATGTATCTCATAATTCTGATTTATTTTATAATCCTGACTTTGCATCTCATATCTGAAGTTATAAATTATAATCCTGACTTCATTCTCAATTTTGACTTTAAATTTATAATACTGACTTATTTTATAATCCTGATTTTGTAGGTCATAATCCTGACTTCATCTCATCTTTAAAAGTCATAATTATGATTTTATGTCATAAGTCACTCTGACCTCTAACTGTCATTTATTCTCATAATAATGATTTTAAAACATCAAACTCCTGAAAATAAAACAACTTGAAATTATTAGATCTTGTGGCAGAAATGGGCTTCCATAAAACATAAATCATTAGCAGGTTGGGTTGATTCTTCTTCTCCAGGATTAAAATAATAATAATAATAATTAAACTTCACAAAATAAAAGCGCCAACATTCCAATAAAAAAGAGGAAAAGTAAGGCCCCTTAAATAAATATTACCATTCTTTTTTATCAGTTTCTCAGGAAACTAAAACAAAGGAGCACATCTACAGTTAAAAAATGACATTCCCTCGCTATAAGAAAGAAATTTATCAAAAAGAATCATCAGCAGCACGAGGCTATACCATCCTGGAGTTAGTGTCTGAGGAAAAGTGGCCAAGGTTTTGTTTTTGTCGACGACCTCTGTTGTTCTTCGGACATTTCCTGAAAACAAAACAAAAACCAAAAATCAGGGAATATTTTACACAAAATAAAAAAAAGTGGTTTAACGTTTTTCGGTCTCTACGCGATCTGCTGCCTCCTCACCTTGTGATGCACATCACCACGGCCACGATGATGGCGATCTGCACAGCGCCGATGATGGCGGCGATGAGGACGTAGTGCAGCTTCTGTCCACTGGGGACCACGTAGAGGATGTTGAAGTCCTGAGGCTCATCGCACTGAGCACCTTTGTACCCCGCGTCACACCTRGACCCCAAAACACAGGTCATGTAGAAGAAAAGCTGCACAGCTGAACTCCCACCTGAGGGGAAACTACTTCCTGTGAAGCGCCTGAATCCTTCAAAATAAAAGCCTCAAACACTGAGGCTGTACATTCTCAACAACTCCTTAGTAATGAGGGCATTGCTTCGGTCAGTTGAGGTGAAAAAGAGATGAATTAAAGGCAAAGATCTGGATTTACTGGTTCGTCTACCTTCCAACCCCAACTGAGGTCCTGAGGTTTGGATCAAGCCTGAAAGAACCAGATCCTGCAGCTGAAAGGAACCAACAGTGGTGGGCAGCGCTAATCCAAAAATTAGCTCCGCAATTTCTAAAGCGCTTATAAAAATATTTAGGTCCATAACTTCAAAACCGCTTATGCCGTAATAAAAACTAGCGGAAGCTAATTTTAAAGTACAAGTTCAATTTGACACTTACTAGCTGACAATTCATGTACAATATATGCACAACACTGCCAACTAGTGGTGTATGAACACTTTTACAACTTAATTCTTCAAACGCCGATTGCTGGAGATCTGATTTCCTGAAACAGACCTTTGGCTCCTGGTGTAAAAATTAAAAAGTTGTTGAGGATTGCTAGTTCAGCTGCTTCTTTGTCTTTTTCTTTTGTTTGTTGTAGATTTTTCTTTAAAGAAGCATCAATAAAGTAATTTTAAAACAGTTTATTGGAAAACTGAAGCGATGCATTCTGGGTACATGACTGACTGACGGGAAACAAAAGCACGAGGAACAGGAAAGTAGTATCTTCCCTTCAAAATAAGAGCTTGGATTTTAAAGTTTTCCAGTTCACCTGAAACTCATCAGACTGAAGAAGTCTCTTGGAGGAGAGAAGAAACGTTTCACTAAAGCAGAACCATCCAGAGGACCTACTGATTTTTTCTTTTTGATTTTTTTCTACCTGGATTAGGATGTTTTCCATGTAGTTGCTCCAGTTGACCACTAGATGTCAGTCTTCATCAGCATAACATCTTTAAATCATTTCTGAGTCTCTAACCCCGTTGGCCGATTGCTTCGACCAATTACGTCAAGTAATGAGCTCCAGCGTTTAAACTTTATTTAAAAAAGGAGCTCCGATTGTAAAGTAAAATAAATCAATACATACAAACTTTAGTATGGATTACAAACGTTAACTGTTTTTGCTGTTGCCTTCCTGCTACGTAAGCAGACACAAAGCATTGTGGGAAATCAGAACCGTGACCCAAAGCAACAGTCAGCAGGATGTATACCTTCACAATAAGAGTGTTTATCTGGGAGGGGTGCTGTTGGATAGATCACATGTGTTGTGATTCATTGACAGTCATACCTTCTGATGTTCAACATAATGATGACTGGTAGATAATTAGTTATTAGTGGTACTGCTTTTTAATTTTAGAAAGCACAAATCCACTTATGAATTATAATAATTAGTAAGTCCGCTAAAGGGCAAACAAAATATTTAAGTCCGCAATTAATGGATTTGCACTTTAGTGGGCTGGTGCCCACCACTGGGATCTAACTTTGTCATGAGGACATGTCCTCAGATAGAGACCCCATAAACAGACCCAGAACCCTCTGTAGGGTCTCTAAATCCTCTCTGGTCTGAGAGAACCCTGAGAATAATCCTGTTTTCCTTCTCTGCAGTAAGAAAAGTAAATAAACCAAGCGCAGCGGCTCGGTCAGGTGGGTCACCTACCTGCAGGTGGCCATGTTATACTTGATCTCACATTTCCCGTGAACGCACAGGTCGGCATAGCTGTCAGCGCAGGGGATGGGCAGCCCGGCATAGAAGCCCTCCCCGTGATCCAGACCTGTGGTTTCTGACAGAAATACAGTAAATATTAAACRTCAGGAGGCTGCAGACTCATAAATGGATCATTCACAGGAAAGAATGATTAAAATATAGGCTTATATGGAACGTCAGCTAAGAGCTTTATGGAGAAAATATTACAGAATTTTCAGATCCACCGTTTATGTGGAAACAACTGAATAAAATGCCACAAACTCAATCTATGAAAAACACAAAAATATTTTTCCTAATTATGTGAAACAAATAAATCTAAGTTCCTTTTCATTTAAATTTGTGACAGTTTTCTTTCATCTCCACCTCAGAGTGAAGAAATACTAAAAATACAGAGTCGAGTTTCTYCACTATAATTTACTAAAGATTTCTAAAGAAACGGTCAAACCGCTCATTAAAGTGACTGATTTTCACAAAACAGGCTCCAAATAACAAGGAGCTCCGCCTGCTGCTTCCTGTTACAGAAACGACTCCAGCTGAGTCGTTTCAGGGATTTACAATCAGTAAAAACTGACTGATCAAACATTTAGGACTGAAAAACAGATTAAACATCAAACTGTTGATTTATTTTCAGAACATTACTGAGAATCGTGTCGAACAAAATGTTGAGTGCTGGGGGACAAAATGACAAATGTGTGGTAGCAAACAACAATCGAAAGGTCCAACAAGAACGGCTGTGGACAACAGGCCAACCACCACATAGAGACTGCCATGTCCAAAGTGACAACGGTTAGGTAGAAAATGACCACGGCGGGTACGAAACGACCAGCACRGGGTGCATAATGATAAACTGCTGGATACAAGATGATGTGGAGAATGAAATGAAAACTGTNGGGGGGGGGGTGAAAGTTTAAAGGGCAATCACCTAAAATTTAAAGGCCTAAACTTGATTTGTAAATGTGTAGGAGGCGTGGTTCAGGTGTGGACATGGGGGCGTGGAACTCCTGACCCACCTGGTAGATGACGACCCGGAACTTGTTGCGTGTGAGCAGCTCGTCCTGCGTCGTCTCCACCTTCTTGACCCGGACGTTCTGCTTCTCCACGCGCGAGCGGACGTCCTTGACGTTGGCGCTGACTTTGCGTGTTTTCTGCAGGAGCTTGTCCACCGTGACGCTGGTGTCGCTGTGGTCTTTGGCCAGCTTCAGCACGTCCCCCTGGACAGTCTTGATGTTGTTCTCCAGCTCCTGCTGGCGCTCCTCCATGCGCTGCTGGCTGGACTGCACGTTGTCGATGATGCCAGCCACTCGTTCCAGGAGAGACAGGATGGTCAGGGCGCTGATGGGGTTCCCGGCCTCGTCCTCCACGCCGACGATCTCCAACTTCTCCTGAACCCCCGCCGTGCGGTGCTTCAGCTGATCCATCGCAGTGGTTTGGTGTCTTCAAAGCTTCTGTGAAACCTTTAGTTTAGTCGAGGAACCTGGACGAGTATTGTTGGGGTAACCAGCAGACCCGAGAGTGGCAACACCCAAACTCTACAACCCAAACTCAGATCTGGGATCAGAGAAGTGGGGACTCCACCTACTTCCTTTAAAAAAGGTGTCAGGATACCAGCAGGACCTGAGTCCAGTTCTCAGCGGGATGTGGGCCAGGAACCTCCCTCTCTGACTAAAAATAAAACCTCGTTGTAAGGCGACACTTTGACATTTTGGGACGATGTGAAGCCAGGGACGATGGAAATACCCCTACGACCCCCCGTCATGCTCGGTGATTCATAATTTTCTATTCTTTGCAGACATGCTCACATCAGCAGCTGCCAAACATGTTCATCAACAAGAGTCGTCCTGCCGTTCTGCAGCGACAGATGCAGAGAAACCACACGCCTGTTCTGATCTGTTCTGATTACACAGAGCTGGAATGTTTGCAGGGGATTAAAGTCTGCTGCTCTGCCCTTTTTACCCCCACCCCCCACCCCCCGACCCCTGTGTGTGTGTGTGGGGGGGGGGGCACAGTCCAAACATCAGAACCTCTCTAAACTATTCTTATTCAGGAAGGCTTACAAGATTTAACCAGAACCAAGTCCAGGATCGGACAGAACCTGAACCTGTGGACGAAGAACAGGTGAGATGATTGTAGACGAAGAACAGGTGAGACAATTGTAGACGAAGAGCAGGTGAGATGATTGTAGACGAAGAACAGGTGAGATGATTGTGGAGGAAGAACAGGTGAGATGATTGTAGATGAAGAACAGGTGAGATGATTGTAGATGAAGAACAGGTGAGACGATTGTGGACGAAGAACAGGTGAGATGATTGTGGACGAAGAACAGGTGAGATGATTGTGGACGAAGAACAGGTGAGATGATTGTAGATGAAGAACAGGTGAGATGATTGTAGACAAAGAACAGGTGAGATGATTGTGGACGAAGAACAGGTGAGATGATTGTGGACGAAGAACAGGTGAGATGATTGTAGACGAAAAACAGGTGAGATGATTGTAGACGAAGAACAGGTGAGATGATTGTGGACGAAGAACACGTGAGATGATTGTGGACGAAGAACAGGTGAGATGATTGTAGATGAGGAACACGTGAGATGCTTGTGGACGAAGAACAGGTGAGATGATTGTGGACGAAGAACAGGTGAGATGATTGTAAACGAGGAACATGTGAGATGATTGTGGACGAAGAACAGGTGAGATGATTGCGGACCAAGAACAGGTGAGATGATTGTAGACGAAGAACACGTGAGATGATTGTGGACGAAGAACAGGTGAGATGATTGTGGAGGAAGAACAGGTGAGATGATTGTGGACGAAGAACAGGTGAGATGATTGTGGAGGAAGAACAGGTGAGATGATTGTGGACGAAGAACAGGTGAGACGATTGTAGATGAAGATCAGGTGAGCTGATTGTGGACGAAGAACAGGTGAGACGATTGTCGATGAAGAACAGGTGAGACGATTGTAGACGAAGAAGAGGTGAGATGATTGTGGACGAAGAACAGAAGAGATGATTGTGGACGAAGAACAGGTGAGATTATTGTAGATGAAGAACAGGTGAGATTATTATGGATGAAGAACAGGTGAGATGATTGTAGACGAAGAACAGGTGAGATGATTGTAGACGAAGAACAGGTGAGACGATTGTAGACGAAGAACAGGTGAGACGATTGTAGACGAAGAACAGGTGAGACGATTGTAGACGAAGAACAGGTGAGACGATTGTAGACGAAGAACAGGTGAGACGATTGTAGACGAAGAACAGGTGAGACGATTGTAGACGAAGAACAGGTGAGACGATTGTAGACGAAGAACAGGTGAGACGATTGTAGACGAAGAACAGGTGAGACGATTGTAGACGAAGAACAGGTGAGACGATTGTAGACGAAGA